TTTCATCTCATTGCTCATCGTGACTCATAATTTCTTTCTTGAAAGGATCTATTACAGCCAACAGATTTTCAAACGCATTGTTATGGTTGGAAACAATCTTGTAGAGTGCAAGGACTACTGAATAGAGAAACGGATGCTTTTGACTGTGGAGGATGGATAAATTTAGCTGGAAATCACTAACATGTATCTAATGCAACAGCACAACTGCCTTTGCAATAAAAATGAACCAGTATAGCCCTTGACTACAAATATTAAATATTTGTGCTGGATACAGTGTTCTAGAGCCAAAGGAAGTACCTCGACCATTTTATCCTACTGTACAAACATTACAAATCATTAAATACACCCCAGAAACAAAGTAGCTGGCTGTGTGTCTGAAAGAAATTGCTACATATTTCCTCATGCTATTTCAATAAACTGTAACCATTCCTTAAATCTTTAACTAACTGACTTCAAGCCAAATGGCCTAAACTAAAGTAAAGTGATTAAATGATTTTTAGGATAATCCAATTGAATTCCAGGTCACCTCCCATTTTCCATTGGGTTACAGTGTCTGCGCACACAAGAATGTATCTCAGTCACTGATATTAGTGCTGATTTCATAGGTCAGCGCTAATAATCCAACAAGAGAGCAGCGTTCTCTCCTCGGAGAAGCTGCATCAGGAACATTTGCCTCCATCAGTTCTGCTTTTTGGGCCTCTTATTCGAATTCTACAGGGCTCACTTGATTGAGTCCTTGAATACCTGTTACTTCCCTCTTATCTAAAGAGATTTAACATGCCCCGTCTCTCTCTTTACTTACTTTCTGCTTTGCTGAGTGCATGGTCAATAAATTGAGCTCAGGGGAGAGAAACTGAGAGGTTTAAAGAAGCTAAGTCTTTTGCCTCCACTCCATAGTAATCAATGTTCAAGCCTAGGTAGCATTAGCAACGTTATTCCATTTCCCCTCTGCTGCGCTGAAAACGTTTCGTTCCATGTTTCTGAAGCTGATGGCAATCTAGAGCTGTCTAACATCAAACCAAATTCTTGAACCTCACTTTTATCCCGACTTAAACCTTTTACACAATCTATTTGACGTAATAGTGTTGCTAGTGGCTTTAATGTCTTTTTTACTAATTTAGACATGGACAAGATCTATCTATATTCTCCTGGCCGTTCGAAATGCTCATGTACAGTCACTTTCTAAATGAATCTGCACTAGTGTAAGTGTTCTTTGAATGCCTTCCTTTTAATTCCTATTGCTGAACATGTACTATTATGCCTTAGAGAGGAAGGAAAAAATAAACATCATGCAACATTTGTCTTCTAATTGCATGTTATAGTTTTAATGCAGCTAATAGGGGACCTGTAAAAGCTGTCAAAGCTGTTTTTTGATCTGCAGGCTCTATTAGTTCAGCCTGAAAGCAAACACTTGACTAATTATTTTCACAAGGCTTCTGGTGTCAGTGTCTTAAAACTTTGTCATTGCAAGTATGCATGATTACACTGATATGACAGTTGAAATGCTCTGTCAAAACAGATGTCAATTTTCAGTAGATTTTGCAAATGCATTTTATAAGCTAGTATGTTGAAACTTTGGCTTTCTATAGTTAGGGCCTGTGGAAATATCAAGATTTACAGGGCCTGTATTTCCTGTGGTCTGAACAATTGCTCCTCTCTCTTCAAACATCCAAAAGATTGGATTTCCAAAATATACCACTTAGTGTATCAGTGATTGTGTTTGTAAACATGAAAAAAAGATTACATTTGTCCCCCTAATGGTGTGGTGCTCGCCTCCAATATTAACAGCCTGGGGTGGTCCGTTTGTACCGAGCAGACACGGCATGTTTGCTTGGCCCAGAATAGCTTGCACATTTCAAATGATATTTTTAGGCTATTGATCTATGAGTTGTGACCTTAGCAAAATGCAGCACAGGAGCTGATGAGGGGAGTGGCGCATTTGTGACCTCTGGCTATAGACACCAATGCAGCTCCATGTATTTGGTCCAAAATACTGTTTCCAGCATTTATAATAAATCAGTATATGAGAATGATTTCTGAAGGATCATGTGACACTGAAGACTGGAGTAATGATGCTGAAAATTCAGCTTTGCATCACAGAAATAAAATTGATTTTAAAATATATTAAAATTTGATCTTCAGAAATCATTCTAATATGCTGATTTATTATAAGAATGATCAATGTTGGCAACAGATGTGCTGACAAATATTTTTTTGGAGACTGCGATACTTTTTTTCAGGATTCTTTGATGAATAAAAAGTTAAAAAGAACAGCATTTATTCAAAATATAAATCTTTTCTAACAATATAAATCTTTGCTATCACTTCTTAACAATTTAACACATTCTTGCTGAATAAAAGTTTTAATTTCTTTCAAAAAAGAAAGAATAAAAATTTACTGACCCCAAACTTTTGAACTGTAGTGTATATTGTTAGAAAAGATTTATATTTTAAATAAATGCTCTTCTTTATAACTTATTCTTCAAAGAATCCTGAAAAAAAGTATCACAGGTTCCAAACAAATATTAAGCAGCACAACAGTTTCCAGCACTGATAATAAATCAACATATGATTATGATTTCTGAAGATCATGTGACACTGAAGACTGGAGTAATGATGCTGAAAATTCAGCTTTGCATCACGGGAATAAATTAGATTTTAATGTATATTAAAATAGAAAAACTTTATTTTTACATCATAAGAATATTTCACAATATTACATTTTTGATCAAATAAATGCAGCCATGATGAGCATAAGAAACTATATATATATATAATGTTTTTTGTTTTTTTTTACATTGGCGCTATTTTACATTTGAGCCCCTGCCCCTGAGGAACTCTCTGCCCGGCAAGTGCAAATGTATATAAATTAAGCTAATCAGGCTAATCGAGTATCTGTATGCTATTCTAGTATGTAAACTAACTAAAACAGACATTGTCATGAATGGTATTTCTAGGAGAATTTTTTTTTATTATTATTTAAGAAAAATTATTTTATATTTGCAACACTATATGTGACCCTGGAGCACAAAACCAGTCTTAAGTCGCTGGGGTATATTTGTAGCAATAGCCAAAAATACATTGTATGGGTCAAAATTATTGATTTTTCTTTTATGCCAAAAATCATTAGGATATTAAGTAAAGATCATGTTCCATGAAGATATTTTGTAAATTTCCTACCGTAAATAAATTAAAATAAAATTTTTGATTAGTAATATGCATTGCTAAGAACTTCATTTAGACAACTTTAAAGGCGATTTTCTCAATATTTTGATTTTTTTTTTGCACCCTCAGATTCCAGATTTTCAAATAGTTGTATCTCGGCCAAATATTGTCCTATCCTAACAAACCATACACCAATGGAAAGCTTATTTATTCAGCTTTCAGTTGATATATAAATCTCAGTTTCTGAAAATTTACCCTTATGACTGGTTTTGTGGTCCAAGGTCATTCATATATTGCTTTATATTCCCATGTTTTGAGAATATTGAAGCAATATGGGGACACAAAAATGATATTTGCTGTGGTCCCCCACGTACGTCTGTATAGAAGTTAACCCTGCTACAATTTATTCCAAACATTCCAAAACCAGAAATGTGAAAATGGTCCCTCACTGTCAGTATAAACCCCCGTTATGAACGGAAAGCTTGTTTGTATATCTCTGCGCAGCATGTTAGCTCCTTAAAAATTGCTCAAAATCTACATGGGAAAAATTGGTCTATAAGACACCCCTCAAACATGCCCCATAGCCCTGAGGAGTGGAATATCACATCATTATGCAAATTTGACCAAAAAAAATCATGTTCTCATCACAGATCGTGCTTGTGTTGTCATGTTTGTGGTTCGTGACAGATACAAGGGAGGAAGATGGCAGCTTCAGTCAAAGGCCAGTGAATCTGACTTTTG